TTGATGATTGTAATTGAGATAGATTTCTATATAGTTTATTACACATGATATGCTCAGGTTCATATATCTCGAGCCAAGCAACCAGATTATGTTCCTCCAGATCTAGATTCATCAGAATAATTACTTACTCAGTAAAATTCTCCTAGTCTCAGTTATGTGTTTAGGATATTGACTAGGTTTCTAGTAGCTAGTCAATGACGTTTCTCCTATCATTGAGACATAGTCATGGTTGATACAACAGGTACAAACAATGAATCGTGTCTGTACATGACGTTGTGATATAGTCATGATTGTCTGAACAATATCAACTCATGAATGAATCATGTCTCTACATGACATATGCAGCTATCGAGCTGACAAAGTATCAAAGAAAAGTACAGAAAAGATTACTCAATTTACAAGAAGAGTACTTATGCCTCAGATTTCATTTGCAAGTACCACTGCGAAGTTATGCCGGCTTTTTCTTCACCACAAGTCAACCCTCATCCGTGAATACCCACCAGGGGAACGTATAAAAACTCTCAGTTATCCAGACATGCCTCCATCATCTTTCAACTTTTCTCCGCGCGATATGTGATCTGAGGTGTCTCTTTCCCAAGTGGAGTAGGTGACCAGGCTACCCAGACCATACAAGAGAACACCACCAGGAGGCGGACCACTACACCTTCCATCGTTGACTTATTTTTATAGTGTCAGCTGCACTCTCGCAAGCGAAGTCTTGGCGCGCACAAAGCTCAATTCTTAAAACTCTTGCCAAAATTCGGAATTTCACGCCCTTCGAGATTACATCTTTCCTCTGCATTATCTTGTAAACTTGTCCTGATCCCTCTCACGTTCATCCCAAAGAACTATCTCCCAGATTTGTGCGCCGCGCTTTGATTCTTCCTGCAGATATAAATGTCGGCGTGTATTTGCTAACCAGCTGAGGCCAGAAAAAGTCGACGAGAGGTGTGGTCAGTGAAATGAGGATGTACGAAGTCGTACCTATAAACTTGATGAGTTGTTGATGGGGATCGATCTCGTTGGGTGGAGAGTCTTAAATTATTGCCTTGTGGGTCAGCTTGTTCGGTATTGCGAAGTTTGACTGAATTTGGCTCGGTGAGAATTTTTCAGTCCCAGGTTCGCAGAGGACACCGCGTAGAGGTGTTTATTCTTGGACTCCTAGAGGCCACAGGCGCTCTTTAAAGGGTTCAGAGGCCAGGCTTATCTCGTGTGCCTCCTTGGCGTTAAATGTAAATCAATCAATTAATCTAACCCTACATTGCCGTCAGACTTTAACATGTGCAAAGATAAGACAGTTATGGTTGTCAGTTCTTTGTGACATGAGCATCAGACAGGTTTAATTTTATCTGCGGTTCATGTTTGGGTTAAGTCAATTAATTTCGTTAATTTTTGCAGTCAGAAAGTCTGTGCAAGTCGTGGCTTCGACCAAAGCTTGCTAACACCAATTCTCTTGACTACCATTTCGACCAAAGCTCCCGAAATCAGTCTTTCATATGACCGAATCTAGGTTATGAAGGATTAATTAATCCCTGGAGCTTGCAGAGGCTACCACTGATAGATGTTCAGTTTTCTTTTATTTTTATATCATTCAATTGTTTACATATATGTAGCCATCACACAGGAACAGTGCCATAAATATATGTTACATGGCTTTTTAAGCATAAGGAACACTCATGCTATAGATTTCCCTGGAAAATACCGCTATAATGAATTCTCTTCTTCACTGAGCAGTGGGACCTCATCTGTGAGTAACCACGGCAGAGAAGTTTCAGATCTTTGGTTATTCAATAATACCTTTGACCTCCCATTCATAAGCACAGCAAGAGACACGATGGGGTCTTGATGTAGTCGAACTAGTAATTGGCTGTCTAAAATGGAACGATTGTCTAGATTATTCAGACTCCCATATGAAGAGCAGCCCAGATGATGAGCTACTGGACCATTTACCCTTAATAGTATTTAAAATGTCTTCGGCAATATTACGATAGAATTTGTGGCGCACAAAATCCTCTTCAATTTGTAAATCGACTCCCTGAAACTAGAGAGTTCGATCTTTGGGTAATCTTATCCATATTAAGTGTCACATAACAGAACTTTCTCATTGATTTGTTCCCCAAATTTCCTTCTTCTTGTGGATATTCCCATTTTCATGGCAGTATATTCGGAGGCCAGCCAAGGCAATAAATTTGATCGAAAAGGCTTGTGACCATTGAAGGACGTATTAAGTCATCCCTGTAGATATGATGAAGCTTTGATCGGAGTGGATCTTGTTGAAAGTGAAAGATTGGTGCGGTAATTAGTCCTCAATAATTGCCAAGTCAGCCAACTCTGTATTTTTAAACCCAACTGAACTCGGTTCCTGGAGCATATCTCATTTCAAAGTTCGCACATGACACCACTAGAAAGTTGTTCAGTCGTCGTCCTCCCAGACGTATGTTTGTGGATCGTAGTGACTTCCTGGGATTTATGGTATGCCCATCCGTAGCTGGGTACTTGTGGAAGTTATTTTGCAGATCTGGCCCGTTGTCACCTTCGTGATGAGAGGTGAGTAGGCGGCTGTGGTAGACACTACGGCAAATGACGTGCATCTGCCCGGCCGTGAACAAGAATTTAGATGAAATCCTTAGATTCGGTAGGGTACCTTTGCTCTGGGCCGCAACTGCACGACAGACGCACGCAGCCATCTAACCGATTTCCATATTTTCGCGGCCACTAAAATATGCACGGTTGTGTGAGTTAACAGCTGCAGCTTGACACTTGACACTTGACCCCAGCTGGATAGTGGCTCTAATAATGGCGAGCGAGCTAAAGTTCTACGGAAAGCTTTCTCAGTACCAAGCTCGAAGTTAGATACGTCCATGAGTCTAGAGGAAGCAATACAGGGAATCGAGCTTATTCAAGGAGGTAGTGCTGACTGCTGCGCACAAATCTAGCATGAAGTCGGAACTTGGACCGGGGGGCAGCGCGCCATCGCATCCACTGTGAGCTGCAGATTTTCGAGCCAGGGGAGGGGTGGTGATGCAGGGCCTATGAATGCTGCCAGAAGTTGTCTTCCATGGTCCCGGCAGGATTCCGTAGGTCTTGCCGGGGTCGGAATTAATGTTGTGGAATTTTAAAAGTCCGCATCACATGATACTGGTTAACTATAACACCAACGATCGGTCAGAGTAGGAAAGTAATTTAATATCCCTATTGAGACCGACTGCCAATCATACATCCCGGCACAGCCGACGCCCAAGCGTTTTCAACTGGACATTTCATGGATATACACCCAAGGTAAACAAAGCTTGACTCTTCCGTATTTCTTTAATTGTTGTTGATGTTTTATTATCTTATTGTGCTTGACACTATGTGGGCTAGTGCAGGTAACACGTAAGGCAACACCCTTCTGTATTAAATCATCTACTTTTTCTCCACCCATCGATGTGATAATTATCACTTGCATACTTGAAGCCATCGTCTCCCAGTGAGATCCACAGCCCTTAATATGTGGTGCCTGTGCCGCAATTCATACTTAATGCACCCACCATCCTACTGACGGTAGCTGTGGCTATGAGACTAAGTATGCCTAGTCGTGTGGAGTCTTGTATCCATGGTGAAGGGAGGCTAAATCATATAAATTTACTTTGCTTTGTCGATTACATGAAGCTCACGGTCGAGTAGAAAATTTGACATCGGAAGTCACAGTAATTCCAGAGCATAGGCTGATGATCTCCCATAGATTTAGACTCAGCGGGGAACTTGATTAAAATTTATGTAGTAACAAAGACGATATCAGCGACGATTGGAAAGGAGCAGCTGTTTGCTGAAGCTTATGCCAATTGGGTTGCAGGGTGTCTCCTGGAACAAAAAGCTAGGTGCGATACAGCAAATATCTAGGATAAGCATTTGGGTGTAGTGGTCTAGGGCCGATGAAGAGCTTCCCTAGAGAGAGGGGACCCATATATCCAAGAGAAGTTTTCAGACGGTGAGTGCCACTGAAGCGGCGGAAAGAAGAGCGGAGTGATGTTGAACCAATGAGAAGAGCATGCCCAAGGAAACAGTTGTTTGTAGTTTCGCACCCTGTAATCTGGGCTGACTAGAGCTATCACTTGTGTTAGTATGGCATAGCGGCGGCGATAATGCGAGGCTAAGCGAGATTCTCCTCTTATCAACGATTGGCCTCAGGTCTCATTCGACCAGGCGATTTCAAGTTCACTTGATGTAATTGTCCTTCTTCAAGCAACGAGCTACCAGAGTTAGTGGGTATGGTGCTTAGTTATCATCCGAATTGGCGAGTTCCCTCGGATATTCCAGCAAATAAGGAAGGCTGGACCATGATGAACAGGTGTCGTAAGGGTACTAGGCCCGAAGCTGTCAAGGGATAGGACTTATCCTTCTCCTTGAAAGAAACTAAGACCGAGAGACGGTAAGAATATCACAGAAGAAGATCATAATGCGGGAGCGTCTAACTGCAATAAGGGGGTGTGAGTTCAAGAAGGAAACCTAACCCAAAGTAACAGAGAGAGGTTAAGGGGTGTTCAATTATCGCTAGTCCAAATTGGTCTGCATCAGCCCACACCGCCCTCCATTTGTAGACAGAACTTCGGAGAGTATTGTTTACTACCGAGTTGCGGGGATTCCCTGTCGACGACTAATGACCCGCTTAGCCGCCTCGGGGACCAGGGCTCGACGAGGTGCGGAGGGGGAGCTAGTATGGCTGAAGCTTTGTACAACCAGCTTTGCGATCCGCCACAGTCCTCTGACTTGCTATTCAAGTGCTCGATTTGTTCGTGTGGAAAATCAGTTGATTGCCACTACTAGTTAGAATGCCTTCCAAGGTTGGGTAAAGCCACACCTTATCCTCACGCCGAAGACCAAGTCCATCACTCCACTTTTGTCTCCACCAACTTTGCTAAACATTTTTCAGTGACCCTTTAATTTCTTTGCATACATTAAGCTCTTCGTTCCTAATATTAACTTTTTCCCTTCAAAATAATCCATACCTTCTTCTCAGCATGGCAGTTAGTACGTCCGAAAATCCAACTCCCGTCCGGGTAGCTCAGGCTATCGGAATCTTGGGTACCATATATTCTGCCGGTAAGTTTCTAGTTCTTTTGCAATAGAGGTCATGGCTCATGGTCAATTGTAGGAGGATCTATGAGTATTGCAGGATTCATGATTCCAGCCATCCGCCAGTCACCCACACCTATCCTCCTCTCCCAGTTCCGCCAGATGTATAGACGTGGCTCTAACTCAGCTCCCCCCATTGCCGTTGTTACGGCAACTGCCTTGGCTTATGTCGCCTATCACTATCGACTCACCTCTGTCTGGAAACAATGGGCGCTCGCATCAGCCCTGTCAATTAGTATCATACCTTTCACATTTGTAGTAATATACCCGACCATCAGAACTTTAGAAGGCTGGGACGATACGCACGGTGAAGGTATTGATCGAAAGGACGTTATCGAAGTAATCTCTGCCTGGAACCGAAGACATATCGCACGAAGCTCCTTATCTCTGTTAGGAGGATTACTAGCTCTCTACGCTCTAATCCACTAGATATGGCCGAGTGTGTAATATCTACCATTTCAAAATATATTCGACTTTAATACAGATTTGAGAACTTCTGAGGATATTATGTCCAAAATTAGTCACAGTTGATACCGCTATACTTCAGCTTACAATTGCTCAAGCGTCATACCAGGGCACCAAAAAAGCATATCACACCTAATGCTATCATTGATTGGCCTATACGATAGCAGGAGCTAGTTGTTAAGGAATCCAGCCTAGTGCAAGTCTCACATTATAGAAGAGCTACAGAATTATATGTCTTCTGTCGCTCAGTCGCTCAGCTACATAACAAATGGCTCTAGCTTTATTCAGAAATTAAAATCCCAACCAAGCTCAGAATTGCGTTATACTAAACTCCAGGTGCTTCATCTCGAAATTCTCAGTTACGCACAACCAAAATAATGAGTCCTAAATCAAGAGTAAATGGAACTAGAAAGAACTACACAGTGAATCGACTTCAAGCTAAGACACTTTCTCTACACAAGCGTTATGTAGATCTGCTCGCAATAATAGTTTCAATTAATAGGGAATATCATGCACGCCAACGCAAGAACTATGAAGGAATAATATAGTTGTAATTTTTAGTTGACAGATGGGATCTTACAACACCAACCATATCTTTCTAACCCAGAATGGTGATAGTTTTTGCCATAATAGGTCGAAAATCTCACCACAACATCAGTTCAAATTACATGATGGTTTTTATCCACGTATTTTTGTAATTAATTGTCTTAAACAATAAGCACGACACACACTCCCAAGGAGCTTAATTTGATAAGGGCCGGGATAGATCAGGACTATCGCCACATAGATTACAGTTATCCTCGTCCCATCTGAATTACCAGACTACTTCAGTTCTCACTCATGTAATGAAACTTGTCCAGTCATACTAGCTTGAAATCTATTGCACATGCCCCTAAGAGGGGATTTCTCAACATTGACCACTACGCGCGCAATATCTAAAATTTCTATCACCTCTGATCTACTTCGCCTGTCTAGATCTTGGTATTTTAATAACCCAGCTCCTCCTTGTCGTATTCTTGGGTTGCTATCCCCCATAGAGAACTAGAATTTGCCATAAAAATGGTTCATTGACTTGGTTAACCCGTGTCATTCTGCGTATCTACACCGCGTTTCTACCAAGATTTAGACCATCAAGTGTACGTCCCTAGACGGTCAGATGCTTATGGAGGCAGGTTACAGATCTAGATTTTTTTGAGAATTGTTCGGGTTGATAATGAAGATTCAGTGGGTAAGGGGACTCCAATTCTCAGTGAACATCAAAAACAATTCTGTTTGTTTGCTTGAGATTAAATCAGGCTGGTTGATTTACATTAGATTCGGTCGCATCGTATCTGTGGGGAGTAAGGAAATCCATAGACCGAGAATTGAGCGTTCAGTGTTAGATCATCACTAGTATGGAATAGCCAAAATTACGGACAGGTTCATCGAAAAAGAGACTTCCTTGGATGTATAACCAAATACAAATCCGTAAAAATTTGAATAATTAGGGCTGTCGGCCAGATCACGTTGTTAATACACATGGCTTTAAATCAAACGTCCCTTTGGTGGTTACTAGCAGAGGAGGGTTGAATGTATACATATGTAAACACGCTTCGTAGTGGTATTTGCGAATGAAATCCAGAGTATGAGTGTCTCGAATGTCAAAAGAGTCAACCAAAATTTACATAGCACTGACCATGTTTCACATCTGGTTAGCTGAATACACGTTAAATGATTAAAAAAAGAGACTTTAAGTAACTTACTAAGTTTCACCTCTGTAGTCGCTTGAAGGAATGCGCTCTGCACCTCCATGATCAGGGGATCCTACATCTCATAAAATAGTTGTAGACACAACAAGTCAATTGACACAAAAAACCGAGGGATGATTCTTTGATAAAATAGATCCTTTATAAGCTAGCATGACGGGGACTGATCATGTTGGCTGTTCGCAAAGGTAAGTCGTAAATTGAGTTATGTTAACATTTCTATCTTGAAATCGACCCGAACAAACATACCGTACAATAGTAACTCACATTGATACTCAGGATTGCGATAGATAGCAGAGATTGATGGTGTTTATGGCAGTGCGGGGTTTGTTACTGGTGGACAGGGATATGACACGTGTACATACACATATTTTTTTTGCATCAGATTTTAATTGCGTATGCAGATATCTAGCTATTACACAATTTCAAAGAAAAGTTCATAGTAGATGACTCAATGTTGAGGAAGAGCACTCATGCCTCAGATTTCACTTGCAAGTACCACTGCGAAGTTATGGCGGCTATTTCTTCACCCCAAGTCAACCCTCATCCGTGAATGCCCACTCAGGGGAACGTCTCAAAAACTCAGTGTTATAGCACATGTATATATATATATCGCGCACTTGACTCCTCTTTAATACGATGATGCTTCCGACTACATTCACAATACCCATACCTACTCGGGGCTAATCACCCCTTTCTATTGTGGTCCTATCTTCTAATTAATGTCTTTTCGTCCTTTTATATTAAATGACGGGTCATAATTTTCTTAGTCTTGCTGTCCATCATCAAGCTCAGAGTTGTAGACAGATTAAACCTTTAACAAGTTACATTCTGAGGAGAGAAAGAACTACGTAAATTACATTCTTTCTTACTCTAGTTCGCGCGTCGCATGTGGATTTATGCCTAAGTTATTCTTTATACGACTTCTTTACCCGGTCAAGCTTTGCACACGGGGAGTGAGCGCGAGACACTATGGGCATAAATTGTTGTTGGACGATGCAGTTTCTTCATCTTGACTGGCATGCTTGTGGTCCAGGGAGTGACGGAGTCAGAGAGTGCCACCAGTTTGGCGTTGATACTCGTAAATTAGAAGAGGCTACTAGGAAGCCTTGTCTTATTTTATCCTCTTTTGCAAGATTGGCGAAGCAGGTCCTAACCAGATGAATCGAGCTCATGTCATCAAAGCGGCATTCAAGCAATATTTTCGCATCGAAAAGTGCGTAAATTGGGGACGGATTATGCCGGTTGTGGTTCTCGTCTAAGCGAAGGACAACTGCTTGTCCTCTCTCGCTTTTACAGTTTCTTTCTTTGACTTAGGGGTCGCAGTCTGCTTTGTAGCTTTAATTGTAGCGATTGCCTTTTGTTGCAGTCTCTTTCGGGCCACCATAGCTCAGGCTACCTCTGATGGCTAGCTAGGGGCGGCGGAACAAGGAAAGCATATGTTCTTGGGAGTTCTTGGGGGAGGGTTTGCCGGGCAAGAAGGAAGGACGGGTGGCGTGGTGGCCGGGCTCATAAACATATAATGCGTAATAGCGGTGGAGTAGGGTGCCAGATTTATCGCTGCCTAGGCGGCTTGTCGTTACTCGCCCTCGAGGATTGGTGGAAGCTTCCTACAGTAAGTTCAACTGACCCGATCATGTTAATATCGGGCGCGATGGGTGCATGGATGAACTTATTTCTTCTCTTTCATTTTGACCTCACTCATCTTCACATAATTTGGAGATTGGGAGAGGCCTGGTGATCGATATAGGGACTGCGTTTGGACACCTTTTTTCGTGCTGCAAGAATTTTGAAAGCCCAGAGATTGATGGCAAGATGGAGGGGAGGAGAAAATTCGAATCTCAAAAAATTGTGTGCCGACTGATCGAGTTGGTTCTACCGTAAGGTGTTCCTTTCGTGGGTGCTCTGTTCGAGATACAACTATCACACGAACTTTCTCCCCTTGTAGACCTCGTAGCTGCGGCGAGCTGTCTTTTATCAAAGTTCGCGCTAGAAATCCGCCTCATCGGGGAGTTCCGATAATGTCGGGCACCAGTGTGCTCACCGCATCAAGCTTTATTTCCACGAGGCCGTCGTGCATCCACATTAAATCTAGCCCAACTTTGATTCAGGTGGATCATTGCTAATCGTACTTCCGCGGTGTAGAGCATGACTCTTATGACAATGCCGTGTCGGACAAATCTCGCCTGCATCTGTTGTCATCTGACGCTTTCTAATCCTCGGAATTCATGGTGAGCAATAATTATACATCATATAGGGTAGTGCAGGGTATGGGAAGAAAGTGGCCAAATCCTCCTGCCAACTTTCAGCATTTTGGCTCACACTTTGATAAACTATCCGTTTCCGCTTACAGAAATTAGTTTTGAAATTATGACGTTATTAGCAGGCAAATTATGCATCGAATTCTCAGATTTCTCGGTTTTATTTATTATCCTATTGAGTCTATGGCTAATAAGGACATGAAGGTTTTCTCTGCTTATGGACCGAGAGTATTTATACCTCGGGTAGTGCATTCCCTTGATCACTTCCTTCACTACATCTGTCCAGAGGTAACATCCCCAAAGATCTTTATTGGAGTACACACTGAGAAGAGCTGTTATCCCGTCATTAACTCCCCTTTCCAGCCAACAAAGTGATGATCAGTCGTGGCTGTGTAACTGCAGGGAAAAGTCTCAAAACTAATGGGTGTGGGGCTATCCTACCAACGACATCAGAACTAAACTCAAAGAAATAGCTGAACTTTTGAAGCGTTAGAGAATGCTGGTCAGCTGGGTGTAGTAGACCTGTGTATACCTTTGAGCTTCTCTCTCCATTTCTAGATTCCTCGCCTGGTTCGTGCTGCAGGACAAACTGAAGGTGATGACAAGGTATCAGAAAAGTCTTTATCGAGAGTAATTGCCCTGAAGTAGCCAAGCCTAGCATCCAAAGGTCGTTTCGAATGTGAGATTTTATCTAACTCGTGTAGTCTAGATGCCCTCCTGGCTAGAATTGTTGAAAGCATAGATATCAAGAATAGATATTTTTGACGAGTCGAAATCTTCTTTACTTAAGGGCAGAAGGGTCTTTTACTTTGCTTTCGCTGACTTTTTGTTTGTCTGCGGGTGGGTTGCATCTTTTAGGATATAACGAGGGCTTCCATAACTACCGCTTTTGCTTTTGGCACCGCAACATCTTTCTGTTGAAATCTAGACATACCAGACCGAACTGCACGCAGTGCGGAGTAGACGAAGACTACTCATCTTCGATCGCTACCAGCCTTTGTGAAGTCTCGGTTGGTAATGATCTCGGTGGTGGGAATGTTATTCCATCACGTAATCAGAACATAATGTTTCTTAACGAGGTAGAACATAGATAGACAATTAGATGTAGATTAAAAAACCTAACAGTTTTAACAAACTAAATATAAGTTCAGTAAAACCAAAAACCTCTCTGATCCTTAAATCCCCAATATCTTATGATTCGTACAGTATTGACTTGTCGGTCAACGTTCACTTCTATCAATCCAGATACCCCTAGAACTTTAATACTTTCCTCTTTGCCAGCCTCATTATCGTCGTCTTGATCTGCAAAAGTATTATCGGAAGCGTATCTTTGAGTGAGGGGAGGTTACTCAATCTCGGCTATCCATACTCTGTAATAAGAGCCGAAGGTTCGTAGGAAACACCATTAACAGGTGTTAAGTTTCACTTGAAAATGAAATCTAACGCATGAGTGCTCTTCCTTTATACTGAATCATCTTTTCGGTACTTTTTCTCCGATATTGTGTCATAGCTACAAAGCTGCATACGCAATTAAAATCTAATACAAAAAAATCCCCAAAAAGTGCTGAGTTTCATCCCCCTAATATCTCCTATAAAATACGGTCTTTTAAAAATCCTCTTTATCGTCATTGTAGAGCTATTCCTAAATTACCATTATTTTAGGAAATCATTACAAACTTTGTGTTCCCCGTTCGATGGTTCGGATCATGACCTCCATTTGTGATTTCAGATTAAATACAGGGCTTGAGCCTGGCACGTTTAATTTTGAATCAATTAATCAATCAATAACTGTCGAGGTTATCTGATATCTATTTTAAAAAAATTAGCTAAATTTTGTAAATTTAAAATTTGTTCTCTTGGATAGTGAGGGTAGTTGGGCGCGGATACGCGGTGACGAATGATTAATGACAAATCAAAGCATGAATATCTTGTCATGTGGCCGACTATTTAAGGGAAGAGTACTCAATTTTTGATAACCTAAGCCCCCGCTAGAATACCTTCTATGTAAGCGAGAGGGTGAAGTGTTTTCATAGTAGGGTAGATACGACTTGCTTCGATAGCTTGAGGCTTCTCTTAAACCCAATACTTTACTGTAATGTTGGCAGTCATCCGATTCTGTTTCACCTGTAATTTATTTCTACAGTTCAACATTTCTATAACAATTATATAAGTGGGTTGAATATTCAATTCTCAATCATTAGCATCATAGAGCATCCGAGCCATTATTAGTAACATACTTTCGCTCCTGGCATGTGCTTCGTAGCCCTCCTCCAGCTGTACGCACCTGTCATTATAATTCCAATGACCTTACGTATTGGCCCGTAAAGCAAGATACGCCAAACACTAATCCCGTTTAATTTCTCAATGAATATCGATTGTGACTTGAGAAATATATCTGTTTTGATAAAAACTCATCAACTCATACAGCATCTAATTTGAAAAGCTATACGCCGCCTACATTAGAATTAATTATCAATAATCAATTGCCTTCAAACCTAATCCTAGGACTCTGTAAGCGTCCAAGTCAAATATAAATGAATTAGACTCATAATTGCTGTTGCATTTGACAAATTGCTTCCGCGATTCTACTAGGTATTAAATCCAACATGCGCTTGATACCTAAAGGCCTGACTCGATCATCCATGTGGCTTAGTTCACAGATTTATTTCAGAGAGGCGCCACATAAAAGCCAGAGACCTTATTGTCACCAGAACAACCAAGTTCCGAATCGTACTAGCAGAATTTGGGATCAAAACCCCGTTATTGTACGTGATGCATGTACATGCCACATGTGTGTGGACGGGAATTCAGGCCAGAAAAACTTCCGGACTACCGACATTCCCCGTAATATCACACCTAGAAATTGTGAGCTGGTCGAAGGAGGTGTGCAGATTCAGTGGAAAAATGATATTCCAGGATTTGAGTCTCATAAAACCTTCTTAACTCATCTCCAGGTACAATCGTCTGAAGGACAAATTATTATCAAAGACGTTGAAGAACAAATGTTAACATGGGACAAATTTCAATTGAATCAGAGTCTACCTGCATTGCGCTTTAACTACCAGTCATACTTGGATGAGGACCATATCTTGCACCAAGTCTTGTGTAAGATGCAGAAATGGGGAATAGTTTTCTTTGAACAAGTACCAGAATCCGAAAAAGCTGTCGAAGCAATAGCAGGTCGTTTAGGCCCTCTTCGTAACACTTTTTATGGACAAACATGGGATGTCAAGTCCATTCCTGCTGCTCATAATGTTGCATATACTAACAAGTATCTTGGTCTCCACCAAGATCTACTTTATATGAAGATCCCACCAGGCATGCAAATCTTACATTGCCTTCAAAACTCATGTCAAGGAGGTGAGTCTCTATTTAGCGATGCATTTAGGGCCGCGGAACAAATATCAAGCAAAGCATACAAAGTTCTGAGCGAAGAGCATATATTTTACCACTATCATAAAGTTAATGAACATTACTTTTGCTCACACCCAATTTTCGAAAATGACCAAAATTCCAACCCAAATTCCTGCAAACCAATACCGTCATTCGTAAATTATTCACCACCATTTCAAGCTTCATTTCCATGGGGAACTAGATTTGTAAGATCACAGAAAATCCTACAGAGCCTTACAGAATTTGAGGAGATAGTAGAATCAACAAGAAATCTATTTGAATACAAGCTAAAACCGGGCGAATGTGTGATGTTTAACAATCGTCGTATTCTACATGGTAGAAAAGCTTTTAATACTACAGATGGTAAGAGGTGGTTAAAGGGCTGTTACCTTGACACTGAAGTTTTCATGAGTCGTGCGAGGACCGTTCATGAAAGATTTAGGACTCGTCAAGAGTCTGTTGAGGCAAATATCGATTAATATTTTCAAAAAAATATCGAACAATATGTGAATTCTCTAGAATTTAGAATAATTAGGACTATCAAGTAGGCTATATTGTTGATACTTACATGACTGAAAATCGTGTACTTACTTTTACTTCGGTAGTTATTTGATTGAGTAAGCTCTATAATCTTGTGAATGAAGGGTCATTGTTTCCTTCATAGACTTCATATTAACGATTAGAAATACAAACGAGCCCTTCTATCAATTCTTAGTTCCAAGGCTTTAGTAATCTTACACTTCAATCCGTTTAAAACTAACAATCCACTCGATTCTCGCCCCTTGGTATTATTCAGCTCCCAAAGTCAAGGATATACTGATTCCAATATGGCCCAAGAAAATTGGTACTTTCTGAATAAAATTAATGGAGTCCAATTTGATATATATACTTAGTAATCTAATTACTCTAAGATACTAGGTCTAAGCTTCCAGCTGACATACTCTCGCGAAATTACTTGGGGATTTCTCATGTCTATGAACTATTTGAGTCGATTATTAGTGGCTAGCTTAGGTTGTAAAGCAAATAATTGAGTGGTCGCTAGGAATACCTATAAGGGCCTGTACCAACCAACTTAATGGCGTAATAACTTCTATGTTTTAACTTTATCTACTATCATATAGTGCCTAGTTCCGAAAACTAAGCAGTCTACATCATCGACTACTTGTCATAAGTACTTCATAATGTGAGAATGTAACTCAACTGAAGATGACATCTAGGACAACAGAATTACAATAAGGGGCGCCCTTGATACAAATGGGTCTCCGTTCACTTCAGAACGGTAGCGCCACGTATGCTTTCAAATGGAACATATAGGAGATTTTACAGCTGGGTTAAGGCGTTGGTGACGATAGAGAAAGGGATGAACTACTCGGGACATGGTTATTCCTCAATCTCTACAGACTAAATGTACTCCAGAAATTTTACCGCACACTGATAGATAAGCAGTATGGGATGATTTATTTTGGTCTAGTTTCGATACAATCTATGTGACTATGGGCTAACAGGGTAGTGTTCGAGCCTGGCAAGCAAGGTAGTAGATGCAAGGGTCTGAAAAGGTGTAGGCGATCTGAAAGTGACTAAGTAATGGTCATATAAGCTCTCGTGGTAAAAGCACTAAAAGTAATATACTGTATACAGGTTGCTAGTCGTTTGAGTCTTCTCTTTTCACGCAACACCTTCTTATATTTTAAACACATTTCATAAAAGGAAATGGTTAAACTCTTCTTTCCAGCTATTGATGGTGATATGAATTGAGATGATGATTGTGATTGGGATAGATTTCTATGTGTTTTATCATACAAGATATACTCAGGTTCATGTATCTCGAGCCAAGCAGCCAGATTGTGCTCCTCCGTATCTAGATTCGTCTGAATAATTACTTACTCAGTAAAATTCTCCGAGTCTCAGGGGGACAATTTTAAAGATTTAATCTGTCCATAACTCTGAGCTTGATGATGGCCAGCAAGACGAAGAATATTGTGACCTGTCATTTGAGATAAAAGGGCGAATTGGGCATTAATTAGAAGATAGGACCGAAAGAGTAAGGGGTGATTAGCCCAGAGTAGGTATGGGCATTGTGAATGTAGTCGGAAGCATCATGGAATAAAAGTGGCTCAAGTGCGCCATATATACACACGTGTCATATCCCTGTCACTAATTACCAGACCCCGCACTGCCATCAACACCATCAATCTCTGCCATCCATCGCAATCCCGAGTATCAATATGAGTTACTACTATACGGTATGTTTGTACGGGTCGACATCAAGATAGAAATGTTAACAGACATTTCTCAACACTTGTCAGTGGTGTCCCCTACGAACCTTCAGCTCTCACTGTAGAGTCTGCAGAGCCGAGATTGAGTAACAAAGTCCTCACTTCGATAAGGATTCCCAATCGCTTGCGCGGTCTGTATCGTCTTCATCTCTCAACACATTCCCCAATCACCATTATCATGAAGCTAACCACGATCAGATCAAAAAGTAGGGTCGGAGCCCTACTCATCACCAACCCTTGATCATGGAGGAGATGCCATCCGATGAGTTTCCGGAGCGTACCCAGCACCCGATACGGAGATGGTGTATTGGATCAAGTCGACCTCGACTGTTACAAAAAAGGGAGATATAGATGAATATGCGTACCTCACATGGTCCCGGTGTCTAGGCCTCGCCTGGCTGGGGCTGCAGGGTTTTTGAGACTTTTTCCCGCGCACGCAGTTTCCAATGCTTCCATTTCTTATTTTTTTTTTGGGTAGGAGGTTCCGTGGAAAAGGTGGCCGAATTCCATGGGTAGATATTGAGCTGAATGGCTATTCATCACGGGAAATATGTCAATGATCTTTCAGGAAACATGAGAGACAAGGAGCACTGTACAAGGTGTGGCCTGGGTCGGAGAGGAGCCCAATGTGATAGATAGTTTATGACTCAAGTAGTACAATAAACACACTCACTCTCCTATTCTCACTTGTGTATTTAGGATCTTGACTAGGTTTCTAATGACTTGTCCATGATGTTTCTTCCATCACTGAAACATAGTGTTAGACACTAAGGGTCAAATGAAAATTTTAAAGTAAACTTGTATTGATGAAATCTCTGCTCCTCAACTCCTCTCCAGCAATGATGCTATATACCCATCTGAAAGTATTTCGGGGAGAGATTATCTTCTCCTAGCTTCCCAAAATTACATATGAAATATATTACATATGTTGAAGATCAAAAGATCTCAAGTTGGTGTCGCAACTATGCCGTCTAGATTGGGTGATCAATGTGTCAGATAGATGCTGGCAGAAATACTCGAGGTACAAGGGTATATTATGTAATCAGTTAAGCGATCATGTAATTGTACGAACCACAGTATATTAGAATAGTAGGAAGAACGTAATTGCTAATTATCTGTTCCAATATCGTATACTAGTATACACCCCCCGACTGATACGTACCAACAGTTGGAGCTTTGAACATCCTTACTATCCTGATCACCATGTCCCTGATGAGATATCAAAGCTCGAGTAAGTTAATCCGAGATATGTCATCCCGATATCCAATGATTCTCACTACCTTATTCAGTAGGTTCTAAGCTATCAGATGTTTTACACATAGTCATGGTTGATACGACAAGTACAAACGATGAATCACGTCCATACATGACTTTTCATACTTCTCTCTAAAGAAGGCCACTCCAGCAATGTTCTGTAATCTTTCAGTATGTTCAATTGTACTCAACATGAAGTTATTAGTAAGCTCCTTGAGACGCAGCTGCTTTGAAGTCTGACGATGAGCCTCCGAAGAGCTTAGGGTTACAATTTCTTCTTGTTCTCGGGTGGACATGGCCAGCGCTTTTATACAAAGGTCATGCCAGTAATGACGGGTAAATCCTCAAACTTTGGCGCTATCCAATAGGCAGCACTCGTCTTTATGCAAAGACTATGGCGCCTAGATGAGCGAGGAAACTTTTCTTGCCCCCCCCAGCTTAGACGGTGGCAGTAAAGATTTCCACGGAATGTATTCCCTCATCAGACTACCATCAGAAGCAGCAAGGTATTTGGTATTAGGTCTTTGTACCGCTACATCTCTTTTTTGGGGGAAGAAAATTCCACACCTGTCAGCGGCGTCCCCATTAACCTCCAGTTCTGACTGTAGAGTCTGTAGAGCCGAGATTTAGTGACACCTTCGTTCTCAATGCCATGAGGCTTGCTAATTGCTTTCGTGGTCTGTATCGTCTTCATCCCTCAACGCAACCCCCTGTCACCTCTATCATGAAGCTAGGCACCATCAGATTAGATTGTAGTGTCAAATGACCTAATGACTTAATGACCTTTCATGTGTTCTCTTAGAAATGATGACTAATTATGTTGATGAGTAATGAGTTACCTGTTCAGGATAGGCTTCAGGAGAGAGGGACAACTGCTGAATATACGTATATTACCTCTAATTACAGGAGACAAGAAAAGAAGGTAGATGTTAACCAAAAATTGTTATTACTGCGTCAGAAAGCTTGTGACGTAAATACCACTCGAGTATTCCGACACTGATCAGTTTTCCGAATTCAGATCAAAATACCTGTGAAGAGAGAAATAATTTGTACAGTCCCTAAAAAAGGCCTCTATTCAACTTGTTTTTGCTAAGGAATAAAATTTGAAAGTCGTCCCCTGAAAAAGGCCCTCGTCATTCAGTTTATGTTCAACGAATCAACCCCTGAAGAAGGCACTTGATTTTGCGTCCATCATGCACACACCCACTCACTCTATCATTTGATAAGTTCTCACTCTATCAAACTTTTATCTCCATTTTACGCATCTATTACGTCTCCTAGATATCATTAACAACCGAATTTCTTTTTCAAATACCAGTCCTATTTTCACCTCCCATTTATCACATATGTACTCTTGAAATTTCATCTTCTTTTCCTTAAAAATGGCAGAATTTATTTCTAAAAATACCGCTGCGACATCAGCACAAGAAGATCAACAAAAATCGGTCAACAGCTATATAAAGGAAAAAATGAAAGAGTTCTCGGAGTACAACTTTAAGGATGATAACCTTTGGGAAGCGTTTAAAGACGAGTTTTCACATTTCTCTGAAGCTGATTTCAAATCTGCATCAATCTCAGTCCAACTTGAACTTTGCCTGCACCTGAGAAGAAATGGACTTTGGGTAGAATGGGACGGAAAGAGACAAACAACCACTGCCAAATTCCTGCATAACGCCTTATAAGAGGAAATACCGACAGAGTGGACTTTTGAAGAAGTTTCAAACTGTATGAAAATTTTAATTCAGTGAAAATTCTGCGTCTCATGAAAGATGCTAGCTATAGGCAATCCTTCTTCTCACTGAAATAAAAGGCAACTATTACTTCAATGAAGTCTACTGACGAAACCTCAAATGAACTACAATCTACCTCGCTTCCTGCAACGTCTCAATCACCCATTGAATATTCTCTCGAATATTCAACCCCGCCCAACGTTTAGAAGCCAGACTTGA